CACACCCTTTCCCCCCAACAAGTGGTTTGAGTTACATGGCCCAAAGCCAATAAAAGACACTTGATGTCATTTTGTCCATTTCACTGCCTTTCATTTGTTATATGCTGCATCCTCTTGCCTTGTTTGGAACACTAGGGAAAATAGTGCTTGCACACACACACACACACACACACACACACACACACACACACACACACACACACACACACACACACACACACACACACACACCTCAAGAGTATGTCGAGAGAGAAATGAGCTCCAGCTGACAACGGGGGTGGGGGGGAAGAATCGGAGTGTTCTGCCGAGTAAGGAGTGTGCATGTAGAGGAGGAAGAGGAGGAGGGGGAAGTATTAGGTTTGCAGAGGCGGGAGCAATGAGGGTGCAGGAGGGTGGAGGAGGGGTTGTGGGGTGAATTCCACACCACTGCACGGACTCGAGACGAGAGATGGGTAGTGAAAATCCTGACTGCAGACGGAGTTCTGCCGCTCCGGCGTCTCCTTCCACGCCTCCCGCTGCTCCTCCTCCAGTTCTCTCCCCGGCGTCGAGCGTAGGTGGTGGAGTTGTGTCTTCGTGTGTGCTTGTTCGAAGGTTCAGTCAGTCCCACGAAAGAGCTGCGACAGATCCGGCTACCCGTCTCCTCTCGAAAGAGCAGACGCAGCGGCGAGGCCGCCTCCGCCATCCGCGGGCCGGCTTCCACTTCCTGTCACGTGGTCGCCTCCAGGTAGCTCTGTAGTTTGCGGACGGTGGACTCGTCCAGTGAAAAGAGGTCAAAGTCAAAGGTGGTGTTGGTCACATTGAAATGGCCCGTCTCCTCGATCAGGTTGACGATCTGAGAGAGAGGAAGATCAGTTAACGTCACGGCAACCGTTAGCACCGTACGCTCACAGAATCAGAGCATCACAGGGTGATTTAGCTTTGGCACGAGCACACACCTGCTGCAGGACGTTACGCTCCCTTAATGCCATCAGTCTGCGGTGGAGGTCCACCAGTTCTTCTGTGTAGGCCTGCTCCATGGGACAGGAGGGAAAAAGAGGAGAGGATAAAGTCCAAGGAGTTTAAAAATAATAATAATAATGATAATAAAGTGTTTAAGAGTCTTCCTACTCTGTCAGCACAAAATGGTGACTCTAGAGATTTTTCTTCGACATCGGGGAGATAAAGGACACATGCATGACATACACGAGACGAACCATCTGGGAAAACTGGGAACTCCAAACTGATTCAGAGACTAGACGCATCAGTTCTGTCGTTATCAACCGATCAGTATGTTCCATCTTAGCTTTGTGGTAATCGATCCCAGCAGGAGGTAACAGCAGGAACAAAGAATCTCTTCTGCTTTTAGACGTTTAGTCTAAATGAGGTGCTGATGGGGGTCCAGTCACCACCTCAGCCAATAAATCTTCACGGGGGAATCTATAAAGGGTCGCATGTGTTCTCCAGATTTTGGGGGCTTTTAAATGCAGCATTTGCAGGTTTTAGACTCTCATACTTCACGGAGCAACATCTGGAAGATCTGGTCCCAAATCTTCAGCGGTGTAAGAAGCACAAAGATACAGCAGCCGGGGCAATAAATAAATAACTACCATCATGAGAAAAACACGAGTCTGATCAACATCGTGAAGTTAGTAACTCAAAGAGACAAAAACATTAATCTGTTGGTGCTGGACATGGATTTCTCTTTGACTGACACCATAACATGTTTAGAGGGACTGAAGTTTTGGACTCTTCCAGCAAAATAAAGATTAGTTTACCAAACGCTACTTAAACATGACTTTAATCATCGAAGAAAGAAGAAAGATGTGTTTATAGGTTCAAAGGCCAGAGTCAGTCTGCATAGCTGGATGAATTTACTGGTCATTACTGCATCTTGAATCCATTAATGTGGCCCCCGAACGCTGTCTGAAAGCCTCGTGTGTGTGTGTGAGGTTAAGGCATAAAAAGTTTGATTTACCCTTCCTACCTTGTCGTATCCCTTCTTCATCACCTTCTCCGAGCGAAACGAGGAATCTGGGCTTTTTCGGACAGACACCTGCAGTTCAGAGACAACAGAAAAATGTAAAAGATGGTAAGAGAGGGTGGGGGGGGGGGCATACTGATAGAGAGGCAGTGATGAGACCACCTGCAAAAAAGGAGCAGGAATGCAAGTGCGAGCCAGGTGAATGGCTACAGACCGCTTTAAGCATCACCCTTAAACACACGGCCTGAATTATGGTCGACATCTATACTAAACTCACACATACAGAATGAAATCCCCAGAAAAGCAATAAACTCACAGCTTGTACTGCAAACCGCTCGTCCCACAGTGAGTGCGAACCAAACACACGACACAAGTAATGAGATTATTCTAATGAGACGACTCGTTAATAAAGTGTGCAGCAGAGTGAGGTCTGTGACTCACTTTGTTATTGGAGGAGCTGTGTTTCTGTGGGGGCGGGGCGGGGTCTCGACTGGGGCGGTGGGAGCCGTCGCTGCTGTCGCTCTCGCTGTCCAGGCTGAGTCTGACAGGGGTACAGGGCGAGGTCAGAGGTCAATGACATGCACACACACAGGCCTCGCGTGCACCTACTGTCCATTGTAAGCAGAGTTAACCCTCGAGTAGAATTTGCCTTCTAACAACAAGAGAAGGTTAGGTGGGCAGACAGGTCGAGATATGACAGCCTGTTATTAGACTACAGTAACGCTTTTTGCACATGTAGCTACTCAGCACAACTATAAAAAGGGAAAAATGATCAGTTAATACGCTCCAACTTTGACTTGTTTGATGCATATTGTGCAGCTTATATTCTCCCATAGACACAGTGCATATTCACAGCTTTATTTCTCCTTTTTTACAGGATAAAAATACTTTAAAAAGCATTAAAAAGCCCAAAACATTAGTATTTGTTTAATGGAATTGAAACATCAAGCATTAACATACATACCATGACTTTCCCACTAGCGTGTCACACATGTAAGCTGACTGATAATGACTTCTTCACTGATGTGCATGTTTCTGTCACCGATTTCTGTGTAGGAAAGCGTGACAGTGCAAAGAGTGGATGTGTTTTGGGGGACTGACCGAGAGTCGCGGTTAGGCGGGTTGGTTTTGATGGGCGTTTCTTCCTCTGAGGTGGAGTCATCATCATCGGACTCTTCAGACTGGATCTCCTCCACCATGGATCGCAGGGGGCCTGAGCGACGAGTCACACAAACCATCATCTTCCGTCATTCTCAGCACCCAAAATTTGTATAAGGTCTAAATTTGCTCATTAAATTAAATAATCGTATCCAATGAAATTCTATTTTTATGTGAAATGGGTCGTAGTTGACAGAACCGTACCTTGTCCTTGTTTCTGTCCCGGCTCAAAGTCAGAGTCTGAACTGGAATCTGAACTGGAGCTTTGAGTGGAAGGACTGGAGGGAACCGACGGCTGTAAAGAGAAGGAGGAGAGATCAACGAGTCCATGAAGACACAACAACGACACTCATGGGACCGAGTATCAGATGGGCTCACGATGTAATGATGCATTGTTTTTTCTTTTAAATGGACGGGTAAGACCTCAGTCTGTTCAAGAGAAACTAACGAATTTTTCACATCAAACATTTTCCCGTTTCAAAGCTTGACTGAAGCGACCGTCTCGTCCTCCTACCTCTGATTTTGACGATGCTTCATCCTCTGAATTCGACTCTTCTGAGTCTTGTAGTTTCTTGGCCTCTTTCAGTTCCTGCGTGTCGTTTTTGCTTGGGAACCAGCGACCCTTCTCCTTCGGAGGCTTCTTCTCAGCGTACGACTGGTTTGCTGCGGACGAGGACGATACACGGGGGGAGGTTCCTGTGAAGGCCCCGCTGCCGGTGGGCCCCTTCGGCCCCTCGGAGCTGGCCTTCTTCTGCTTCTTAGCGCTCGGTTTGGGAGACTCCACCGTGGACGGTCGTTTCCCCGGTGCTTTGGGCTCCGGCGGCCCTCCGCCACCTCCTCCCCCGCCTCCTCCGCCGCTACCGGCCCCCCCTCCTTTCGGAGACATTCCCTCCATCTTTGAGTCCTTCAGTGTGATTTTAGGCTCCTTGAAGGCCGCCTTGGGGAGGACCTTTACTTCATCTTTCACTTTGATGTCTGACGGCTTTTTTGAAGAAGAGGAAGAGGAAGGATCGCGGCCAGGCTTGCTGCTTCCGTCTCTATCGTTGTCTCCTTTTGAAGCGGCTTTGCTCTCAGAGTCCTTGCGTGGCCGCTCTCGGTGCTCCTTGGTTAACTTGTGTGGTTTGGGTCCTTTGCTGCTGCCTCCACTTCCTTCTTTGCTGGGTTCCTAGAGAGAGAAACAACATCATCATCATCATCGACTCTTCTCCTCGACCATTTGGCTCAAACAGCCACAAACAGAATATCAGCTCAGCTGCCTCGAGTACAAACGCACCGTGTCCTCCCAAGATTCCCAAATCAAGCCTTTCCAGTCTGGCATGTAATCACATTACATGTGACTGTCTCAGTAATTAGTAAACAGAATAACATCTGCCTAACAGCTGTATGAAGCTCACCATCGCTCAGAGCTGAATGAGGACATCCTCAGTTCCAGTCCCAGCATCTTGGTCTTTAATAGGCTCGAGATCTTAGCTGATTCTATTAGCTAGCTGTAACTGTTAACAAGCAAGGCTATGTGGAGCTGCTGCTGATGGGAATGTCGTTAGCGTCGCTGGAATCCGATCAGCGTGAAACGCACTGAAACGTATTGATGGTGCTGGACAAATGTGATACGTGATTTGTCGCAGCAGACGAAGCGTACGGAAAATCAACGATGGCTCCGTTTCTAGTGAGCTTCGGAAACAACATTAGCCGCCGCCCCCCACAACCTCCAACATTTCCAGGTTTGACTCGTGCAGCTCTGGACCACCTTTAGCAGGGTTTCTACTTGTTTAGGTTGCTCCCTGCAAGACCAATTGCAGATGGCGTTACCGTTGACGTCACACTTCCACACCGTACAGCAGTCTTCAGTAGAAGACTGTCGTGCACTGCAAAATCCTAACAATTCTCAGACCAAGTTTATTAATAATTTTATAGATTAGGAAGCAAAGTATGAAGAGAGAGGAGGTGAGAGACACAGGTCTCAACAACCTCAACAGTGCTGCGTATCGTCAGGTGCTGCTGAAATACTTAGTGGGCACTGGGCACGCCAAGCAGAGCGAGTCCAGCTGGGATCACTGGTCAAGCCATCAGTTTTAAGGTGATAATTTTCAGGTTTCTTTCAAACTTCTGACCCCACATAAGTTCATCACTACTGAGTGGTGAAGGGAAAACCAGTCCGAGTGCAACAAGCTGACATTTCTGTCTGATCTCAACAAATAACCGAAAAGGTGTATAAGTGACTCTGACCAGCAGATACTAACCAATTCCTGACTTTGTGCCAAACGTGAATAATATTCCTCAAAGAGCTGCTGAGACATCGGTCGTGAGAATGGGGCAGAAAAACACATCGTCAACCCCGAAGCACATTTCCTCAGCCACAGCTGTCACTGGCACGGAGGCATAAAAATGCAAATGTGCAAACAAACGCGCCACAGTCACCAGAGCGGCTTTTAATAGAGCTCTGGCAGGCAGCGCCCACTTATCAGCAAACAGTTTTACAGCTTTTTCAAAGTGACACTATTAAAGTTGATGCGCACATTAGAGCTTTTATCATACTGTTAAAAAACTGGAGAAAAAGTGCGTCTTCGGAGACTTCCTGCGCCGAGTTTTTCCGTGTCAGCAGATGGACACAGCTGGATGAAACCATTCCAGCTCGAGCTGGTGCTCAGCAAACATCCACTCATGCCACGATAATCATGGGACTGATGAAACGCGCATTTCTATGTCGAAATAAAGACGGACATTCGTTTGCACGCGTGCCACAATGGTGAGGCTTTAACAAATGACTGCGTACGAGAAGAACACAGGGGCCTGTTATCACTTTATCAGCTCCTTATTTTATCAAGAGAGAAGGAATAGACTTAGAAAGACAATCTCCTGCCCCACTTTTAAGAAAGACCGTACCAGGTCAGTTCTGTGCTGGCCTGTGAGCTGGCAGAGTAAACGTAAAGGGATCAGTTTCCCGTTTTCTTCTGATATCCCTCCTTTCCTGGCAGGCTGAGTAATTCTGCATACAGATGCTCAAAAACAGCTGGTAGTGATTAGAAGTCTGAGTCAGGCTGTTTTGAAGGCTGATTTAATGATTTTGTTAATGTCTTTTACCCAGACAGTGTGTGTGTTTTTAGAAAATGCAATCGTTGGAGTTGACCAATAAAGCAGATTACAAATTTAAGATGAATGAGAGAGGTGCAAAGAGAAAATAAAACGGTCTAGCGGGATCATGTCTTCACCAACCTTTGACACGTGAGAGGTCTTGGTCTTCTTGGGGTCTGAGAAGGCAGAGAGGGGGATGGTGGGGAGCATGGGGTAGTCTGGGCTTGGCCTTGACATGGCCTCCGCCCCCTCAGGGACCACCAACACCTGAAATTCAAAAAAGAGGCTTTAATAGGTGCAAGCTCTGAGAACTGAAGCAAAACACATGTTCATTTTCCCCGATAGATTTATAAGTGGGCTTTATACGTGAGTTTGGAAAGAAAATCAAACCGAATCAGTATAAAAGATAAGAAATGTATCATAGATGAATTTTATTTTATGTGCAAATAAAAATGTATTAAAGAAGCATATACTGAGGAAGACGCGCTGCAGCAGCCGAGATACAGAAACAGCGAAAAGCAAAGCTGATAAAGACTGTCCTCACTTCCTGCAGCTCAAGTTTGATCAATTTCCAATGAACTGAGTGTTCATAGTGTGCAGCACCTTAAATGTACAGCTACTCTGGGCTCGGAGGTTAATGGCTACTACAGCATTTACACATCTACACCATGGAGTTACATTAACCTCCTAGGACAGGGGTGTCCAACTCCAGGCCTCGAGGGCCGGGGTCCTGCAGGTTTTAGATCTCACCCTGGGTCGACACACCTGAATCACATGATTAGTTCATTACTGGGCCTCTGGAGAACTTCAAGACATGTGGAGGAGGTCATTTAGCCTTTAAATCAGCTGTGTTGGATCAAGGACACATCTAAAACCTGCAGGACTCCGGCCCTTGAGGCCTGGAGTTGGACACCACTGTCCTAGGACACAATTTTAAATATGCAGAAACAAAAATCAGGTAAATAAATAAAAAATAATCATGTAATTCTTTGTTTTTACATCCATCAGGTCTCAATCAGCCCAAACAGCAAAAAGAAATTAAAAATGCTATGAAAGAGTTCGGTTCTTAGGAGGTTAAAATGAATCTCTGACGTGAGGTCACCTAAACAGGATCACATTATTCAGCCAAATTAAAGATATTTTTAAACTGTATAAAAATCCCTTCATTAGCCAAAGGGGCAAACAGCAGGGACACAAAAGTCAAAAGCTATTTGATCAGTAACACAGCAGCATTTTCAAACTATAGAATTGATTCAAATAATGTAACAACGTAACAATTTACAGCATATGAGGATTATTTAAGTTTACACAAGGTTTTGATAAAAGTCACACTTTCTTATTTATCAGCCGCAGTGCTGACTAAACCGATTCAGCGTCCTCGTGTTCACACAATCCCCTATTTAGCGTTCGGGCAAAGGAGTGTGTAACATCCCAGCAGCTCCCGATCTCTCTCACACACACACAAAATGAGCACAAAGAAGAAGAAACATACTTTTCAAAGTGAAATCTCAGGGTTTAATTCCTTCTAAGACCCCTTTTTAACGTAAATCAATGCTTTTTAAGACTTTAAGTGATCTCCTCAATGCGGGTTATCTGCGGCTCTTAAAGGATTAAAATGGGAGTCGAGAACAGGAAAAAAAACACTTCGAGCCAACGACTCCTCCCACGTTAACGCTAAAATACAGTGTGCCGCACTCGCTACTATTAGCGTCTGATATTCACTTTGATCAGCCATTTAGCTCTCAGTCAGTCAGCCTGGCTACGAGCCAAAGTGTCAGGCAGCCTCACCCCTCCAGCTTTGATCAGCTTTCTCCTGAATTCTTTGGTGGGGTTGTTGAAGGTGAGCTTCTCACAGCGCAGGTGGTTGACTGGTGGGTTGCCCTCCAAGTTAAGGAAAAGGTCGTAGTTGAAACACACTTTTTTGGGCTCCTCCTGAACAGGGAGAAGAATGAAGGTTTTAAAAGTCCTTACACAGCACGTGTGGCACTCAGTCATAGACATTTCACAACGCACAATAAAAGCTGAATGACTGCACCGTCAACCCGGAAAGTCAACAGAACAGACACAATGCTGGAGCTGGAGCACTGATAAGAAACATTCCTGAGGGAAGCTGTACAGCGGCGGAGCGGAGCGACACAGGCACATGCATTAGGTCACTCTTCAAAGACTTTATAAAGTTTTTTAAGTAACCGCGATGATGGCTTAATGGTCGCTAATATTTACTTTCCTCTTCACTTTCCTTCAAGTCTTTTCTGGATCATCCTGACAGATTCGTCTCATTGTTTGCAGAAGCTACTCGCACTTAAAAGGAGGATGTTGCAATTTTGGAAGCAGTTCAAAGGTTTAACATTACAAAGGACTACAGAAGATGATGGCACACTAATGTGCACAGGCCCTGTATCGTAATGCAAGCAGAGCGGTTCCTCCATCGTTCTTCTCAATGGCTGACATAAAGATGCCGGTGCTGTGACTAATAGAAACAACTGTTTCCACACCAGACGAGCCTTTCACTAACACAGGACTGCATACGAGCATTTCTCCTAAAGTGAAACGGATCCTATAACACGGCTTACCACAGGAGCGCACTCTGCTGCAACATCACTTTAAGGTGCTACAGATTTGAATCATTTAACATTCAGGTAATCGCATTACTTTAAAGTACAAGAGTAAGATATCTGCCCTTATGTCAAATTAAAAACCGACAGTTTCGAGTTACTATATCACAAATGGAGCCACAACAAACGCGATTCAATGCACCAGATGTCAGCACACCTTTCATTACTCTAGTTACTTTTTGCCTGCCTTTAAAGACATCGTTGCTTTTCCCTGTAAAATATTTTAAAAGTGTCAGCTAGCACACTCGGGTACTCTGAGAGCAGGCTCTGCATCGCCATCGGGGATATTCCTTCTTACGAGCTCCTGGAGGCCGAGAGTCATCCAGCAGTGTTTTGGTACGTCTGCAGCAAATAATAATACCATCCATAAACGTCACCTTCCTAACGCCTTTGCACTTGTGCAGTCACCTGTAATCACACGCCCAGCCCACGCTTCAGTCAGAGTGCACACACTGTGGTTCTAGATATGACCGAACAAATTTATCTAGTGCTCCAAATATTCGCCGCATCTCTCTTCATGCAAAGGCTATTTTGGCAGTTTTTAATGACATGTTGTTTATATGCAGGTCGGATCTGTGCAAACTCTCAGAGCACCCATGATGCCATTTTAAGAGGACAGCCACCACAAATCTGATCTGATTAGCTGTCCTGAGGCTCTTTAATAGAACTATTGATTAAAAGCTTTCATCCCATGATGACTTCAAATCCTCCAGCAACACTTTGTCATGTGGAGCCATGATCTAGACGTGCAGAAAGACACGGCTAACAAGTCCAGAATGGCTCATCTTATAATCACGCGTGTGCAGCCGATCTAAGTGGAAATCACAGGCGTACTTAACTTAGTTTAATAAACTACAGGTTTGATAATTGCTTGCCAGTAATCACTGGTTACTCAGCTTTGGGGGGCTCTGCTTCCAGTCTAATCTTTCTAACGTCTACCTTAGATTTTCCATAAGAGGATAGAAAGTAGCCCAGCCTTTAATTAGTCAATTATGTGATTATTGAGAGCTGATACTTCTGATTTATAGTGTACATATTTTTCCACCAGAGGTTCTGAACCATCACTGCCTTTATACGGCCACAAGTAATTGCATTACTCCTGGTTTAGACGGTAACTTGATTAAGTGCACATCAAGTAAAAGGGAAACCCAGTTTTCTCTATCAAGTTAAGGAGTTAACCCGATTAACATGAGTATTGCTGGAAAAGCCTGATTTCTCCTTATATGCTGCATTCCTGTGAGAGTGTAAAGGCAGCCTTAAGTCCCATTCAGACTGAGATGCATCTCTAAGGGAGGTGATTGTGTCGTTATTTGCAGCGGTCAGTGATTTTTTTACCTCCCCCCCAGTTTTCCTGCAGATCTCTGCAGAGCATCACAGATTTTTCTCTCTGCTTTTTCCTGTTTTAACCATTTTAGCTCAGCTACGTGTAAAAATGAACATTTTCTAATGCATTCAGGTATTCTCACCTTGTTCTTGAAGTAAACCTCAATAGGCATGAGGAAACCTGCGTAGCCCGACTCCTCCACTTTGTACGGAGGCTCCTTGCATACTGCAGAGAGACAAATATGTTTTTTAACCCCCAATAAAGAAAATAAATAAACCACCGACTATAACAAACTCTGTCGAGATCACAATATGCCCGGATATTTTCACATTACTTAATTTAAAGAGATGCAAAAACAAAACGGCAAAAACAAAACGGCGGCACAAACTAGTGAGAAGCATGCTTTTATTCTGATAGGATTGCGTGTTTTTAGCATTAAATGATAGTGGACTCATTATTGGCGTAAAGAGAAAATTACAACAATATTCCTACTGGGCTGTCACAGCGGTACAGTTTATCTTTGTGCTGCCTGCCCTCACTCTGACCTCCAACAAACAACCTCATTTCAACATTTAGAAATCTGATCAATTTCTCACGTGTCATATGTAACAGGAAGAAATGTGTCATCTGTATAAAATCACAAAAAGGAGTGAAAAACAAAACCGTTTCCCTCTCAATGATTCGGTGCCTTTGCTTTTAAATCACCGGCTGTTTTCACTGTGTGAGATTTTAAAATAAACTGGCAGAGAATGAAAATGTGTGGTTGTGTGAATGTTTGCATGTCGTTATTGCTCTGTCCTACCTCTCTTGGGTTTGGGGAAGCTCTCGTGCAGGCGGAAGACAACCTTCTCTACAAAGTGCTGGATGTCACCAGTCTCTGGGCCTCGGACAAACACCATCCAGTCGTGGGTGAAGCCTTCTGATGTCACCTTCTTCCTTAGCTGAGCTCGGTGGCCCAACTCTAGTTTTACCTGCACAGTGCACTGAAAAGAGACAGACAGAGTACTTTAAATACCAAGAATGAAGGCGTTCAATTCAGTTTTATTTACACAGCGCCAAATCACAACAACAGTCGCCTCAAGGCGCTTTATATTGTACAGTAGATCCTACAATAATAGATACAAAGAAAAACCCAACAATCATATGACCCCCTATGAGCAGCACTTTGGCGACAGTGGGAAGGAAAAACTCCCTTTTAACAGGAAGAAACCTCTGGCAGAACCAGGCTCAGGGAGGGGCGGAGCCATCTGCTGTGATTGGTTGGGGTGAGAGAAGGAAGACATGATAAAGGACAAGCTGTGGCATGGGAGCAAAACCATAATTTCAGGTATTGTAAAAAAACAAAACACAGATTTAAGAGATTGAGAAACTCATACTGACATTTTGTCACGTAGAAGTGAGAAAAGCACAGAAAATTAATCCCTTGAGATTTTTATGGGATGAAAGCAACCTGAACTTTACTGGCTTCTGCCTACATTTCCAGGCAATACTCAGGTCAGTTTTTATTCATCAGCCAAAGTCAAGGGGCTTTAAATCTATACAACACAGGACACAGACAGGATAAACCTCCTAGTTTGCAACCAACTAATAATCAGCACTTTATTTTCTATGCAACTTTCTTGTTTTCGGTTTTCGGAGTCAGCGAAAAGGTGAAAAAATAAATACATAAACGCTGAGCAGACATTTTCCATTGTCTTGTTAGAGGACTAACCATCTTTTGATTTGGACCCAACTCATTTAAGAAGCTTGTTAAATGTCATCTGTGCTGGAAAAGTGAGGCCAACTCAAATAATATCTGTCCGTCCATCCATATTTCTTAACCGCTGTCCAGTACGCCCGCGACAGTCTATTGCAGAGATAACAGACTCATAATCACACTTAGATCTATTTCAGAATCACTGATTAACCAATCATGCATGTCTTTGGACTACGCAGGCACACGGGTACATGCTCCACACAGAAAGACCCCCAGCTGGCCGGGGGTTCAAACTCAGGAGGTGACAGCATTAAATGCACCACTATGTGACCCACAAATTAAAATTAATTTTAAAACAAATCTGCGGTAGTTTATCTGTTCTTATGAAGAAAGATCTGAGGATGAAAGGAACGCCCTTCTTTGCATTAGATCTGAGGCAGGGGTTTCTAAGGATTGATATCACAGATTTATGATAAAGGAGAAGGTGCTTTTGGCAGCACCTTTATTTCTGAACGTATCACCACAGAGAGACATCTGCACGTGTGATTGGGCCTGATTTACACCGAATGACCTTCCTGATCCAGTCCTCCCATTTATCCAGGCTTGGGACAGGCACTAAGGTCGTGACCCCTGAGGCTGGGTTTGTGTAGCCTCCCAGACTCAAACCACACTTTTTTTTTTCACATGCAAGGTGAATGTGCTAACCGCTAAACTGCTCGATTAATGATTAAGAAGAAGAAAACAAAAACAGCTCACACAGTTTTAAGTTGGTTTGACATACTCAGATTTTTTTTGCCTTTAACATCATTCAGTACTAGCTTACACTAAAGTACCCTGCTAGCAAATAAAGAGGAAATAAATACTAATGGAATAGTTCATTCATTTTTATATTTTACTAACAAATAGTTTAATAGCTTAATAAAACTCAGCATCACTGAACACAGCAAAGACTTTCAGTCAGTTTAACAACTACAGCCAGACTTTGTCGGCCATCTCTCCTCTGTGCTGTTCCCATGTTTCTGTAACATCATAATGAATCTCTGGGTTTCCGACACTTGGCTAAACAACAGCTTTTGCTTTGGGCCTGAAAACATTGCATCCAACTGCAAAACCATTAAATACGATTAAAACTGGAAATCTTTCATTTTTGGGGCGATGACGTCACCGTGACCTTTAAACCTTAAAACCCGCTTACCTTTACTTCAGTTGTTTTATAGAGTCGGCTATTAATCATAACAACTGTCTACAGATTTTAAGTCAATTATCAACTGCATTACAATCGATAATGACTGTAAGTCAAAGCCCCGTGCTATTGGCTGCATCCCGGTCCCTGGCAGTGACAAATTACAGCAGCAAAGACACCTTCCAAGCTGAGGTAGCTTATGAAATAAACATAAGCAAAGCCAGTTGTAAGATTAATCCACGGAGCAATTATTCATTGGGTCGCGATTCCACCTTGAACAAAACCTCTGAATCTCTCGAGTGTTAGGACTCGACACTCGAGTGGAAAGGGGCCGGACAGAAACAAAGCCGGACTCATGCAGGGACGCTCCCAGTGGAATGGGAGTGATTAGGTGCCCGAGCAGAACAATCTCAAAAGGTTTGTCCAGAAGAGGGTCGCGTTGTTGGGCCACAACTGTCTGCCAAGAACAATGACAGCAGCGGGCCACGCAAGTGACACAGCGCTGGTGGAGATAGAGCGCAGGAGGGGAAGCGAGGGGTGGAGGCGGGCGGGGGACAGAAAGGCACTTTATGTCCAGGGGAGGACTGAAGAATGTGGGGATTTGGCCCCTGCACCGAGGAGCTCGTGAGCTGGGACCGAGCGGGGGGATTAGAGGGGACAGGATTGAGATGAGCTGGTCTGGCACTCCCCAGCACGAACGCACACAAACACGCACACACAAACAGGCATGCACATACACCTCCCCGCCTGGCGCTCTGCCCGGCCATTCTGTGGCAGTAATGCCCTTAAACTCCAGACTCCACCACACCCACAGCGAGCCGCCATGGACTCCCTCCAATCATCAGTGCCCCCCTCCCCCCGAGGAGCTGGTTTAAAAATTTTTTTTTTTTTAAAAAATCAGGGTTGTGATAAGCAAACATAAAAATCAGGATGACAACGAGCCAAAGAGGAAGATGCTGATTGTGCTTCAGAAACACACAAAAAAGAATGAGCGCTAAAATGAAGTGATTTCAGTAACAGGTAAAGTTTAAAAACATTTAAATATAAATAAAAACTAAAACAAGGGAATTTGAGGATTTCTTCATTCTCTGATATTATGATTGATCCTTTAGCAAAATGAAGAATCAGAGGAAAAAAATCTCTTCTCACAATTTTTAAGCAGAAAAAAATTGACAGAAAAAAAGCAATTGGCTCCAGGAGTGCGTGCAATATGATAATAATGAAACGAATTAAGAGAACGAGACAGAGAAACCCGTCCCGAGGTAAGCAGTTAATTAGCTGATAGTCAGAAAAATGAGTGTGCAAGTTTTTGACGACTAAAAAGATCAATCAAAACATTTTCGAGTCCATATCAATATTCTCCTGTTTCACCTTCTGAATTGAGAAATATTTTCTCATTTGTTTTGACAATAAACTGAATATTTTTGTGGGGTGATGGCTGAACATTGCAAGTCATCTGACACCACTACCTTGATTATTAGACTGGATCATTTTCAGACTCATCATTTAAGAAAACAATCGGCCGATTTATCGATAACGCCGTAACACGATGAAACAAGAAGTGTACTCTTCCATTAAACACATTTTGTTGGTGCAGTTGCAGGAAAGTTTACAATTAACATCTATTTTATTATCAGTTAGTTTATAGATTTATTTTCTTCAGCTGTTAATTGATAAATTAAGCTATTAAATCTCTGTCGTCTACACATTTCCAAATCTAAGGTGACATATTCAGATGTTCCTCTCTATGAGCAGTCCCAAACCAAATCAGAGAAGCAACGAAAATTTCACCACAACATTCAAAATGATTTTGAATATACAAAAAAAGAAGGAAAAAATTCCTCTAATATTTAAACAGTTTAAACTTTATGACAACAAAAAGCCAGAATTATGAAGACACGAAATGAACTCAACACTGGTGCAGATACACAGGAACCAGAGTGTCAAACTGCGTCTCAGTTTAGTTCTACTAAAATAAGCTGGGCAAACAGGCGTGTGGAGACACAGTTATTCAGCTAACTTCCATCAAAGCCAAAGCATGGGATAAAAAAATAAATAACACAAAGCCACCAATATTGAAATGATGCGTGCATGCCCCCTCTCTCTTTCACTCACACAGTGCTTCAATTGAGGGGAAATACAAATTTTGGCAGACACACTGGCTCCCATGAAAACAATGAACTCCCAGCTGCCATGTAAATAACACCCCTCATGACCGTGTTAATCTCTTCCAGCAAATGAACGATTAAAATAAGAGTCAGAAAGTTTTCCTGAAAGGGGACGAACAAGCGCGCGACACCAGTTGTCTTGTGGGGATGCTGAACTCTTTCCCCGTACCGCACAATCTACGAGATAACGTGGATAGAGGTGAAACAGTTACTTGAAAATGGTCAATCCCTGGGAGCCGCAGGGGAGTCACAAATAGCCTATCTGCAGCACCCAAAGAAAACAAGTGAGCATTGGAAATGGGGTGTGCGAACGAGCGTGTGAGGATTATGAAAAGCTGCACGACCACTCATCCTGTCATCTCAACTGCAGCGTTCATGCCACAAAGATCAGAGCACGAGAAAAGAGAAAAAAAGAGGCTCCTTTGCTGTCCACACAGAAAGCTGTATGACTAATCAAGCTGCTATCCCGCTGCTAATGTCATGATGTTGGACTACGCAATAAATTGAATTCCCCATTTTTAGTCTAAACTTGATCCTTCTCTGAGTCTGAAAGAGCAATTTAAACCTAATGAGATCTAGTCCAACAACCTTGCAAATATATCTCAGTGTTCTGAAGTGCATTTGGATCAGTGAGGCCAGACATACTCACTGCAAACACTTTTAGGAACAAAGCAACTCCGTTCAATGGGAACACACTACAAAATGACATCGGTGTGCCCTTGATCAAGGTAGAATTTGAATGTGTACACATGAAATGCCAGTGCATGTGATATTTGTGTAAAGTGTTTGGAAAAGCTATTTGCAAATCTTGCCTATGTAACAAAGGTAACATGCGTAGCACAAGTACAGCTAGAGAAAGCATTTAACTTGTAGCAGGAGACTTCCTCTGGATGCACTAAAACTTCAAAGGGGCCAAAGCTGAGCGGAGACCCGTTCCAAGAAAGTGGCTGAGCCACTTTCCATGGGTGTGTGTGGCCTAGCCATCTGAAATAAGTCCTGAATAGCCTCAGGCATTTTGAGAGTAACCCATTCAGCAGCATCTACTTTACAGTTAGCAGATATGTAATTTGGTTTAGCCCCTTTTCTGTTTCTGTGAAATAAATTAGGTACCTTTTTATGGTGTCATAAATTTTAACTGCGCAAATTTATATGTGGATTGCACAAAATGTCGAGGCACGACACTGCAAGATCACAAAGTTCACAGACCAGCCTTTAAAATTATGTTTTATACTGAGGATTCTCTGCTTTATAATAAGCAGCAAATCTTTACTGGACTCAACATTTGCCACACACGGAGCCTGTCAGTTTTTCACCATGCCACACGAAGGTGATGACCATTAAACATTAACCAAGTGCTGGCAAATAATGCAGACACTGCATGATGTACGCAGATTGCTGGTTTTATTTGCTTTGTATGTTAAGGTTTCAGGCCGCTGGCACTGGAGACAACACCCGCCTCTCCAGGTTTCTCTCCCCCGGCGCCTTGTAGCGACTCCTTAGCTTTTAGCCAACGGCCGACACTGTCCTCATAGGTAGATTAGCTTAGCTCGGCGGTACAAAACCTCGACTTGAAACTGGTCTTCGTGCTGTTTAACGTTGTGCATGTGCTGTTTAAAGCCAGCAAAGCAGTAGCTGTAGCTCTCTTTGTGTGCCTGGCTGTGGCTAGAGCTATGCAGCGGTACTGACTGAATGGTGTAGTAGACTGAGCTCAGCTAGCGGTAAATACCGATGTATGAGTGCCCAGCTAGCATAGCTCCAGAGCCAAACAACTACGAGTTCATTAGCAGCAGGAGCATTTTTTTCTTCTGGCTAGCAGAACAGAGGATTCATTCCTGACCAGCCAGCGCTTAGCCTGCTGCCATTTACAGCCTGAAAAGTTCATATAGCATCGGGAGACACAAAAGCCACTCTACCTGGTTCTCCATGTTTCTCTGGCCTCAGTGAATGATGGATATATTTACAGCGGCGTTAGTGGAGCTTCTACCCAGCCTCGTCTACTCATTGTGTGTCTATCCTTCTGCCCAAAGCGGAAGGCAGACGGCTCCCTCCCCTCGCAGACGGCATCTGGCAGGCTACCAAAACAGAAAGCTCTCTCAGCCAATAGGAGAACGGCAAATGGAAGCGCTCTTGAAAGGAGCCAACCAGCGATCGCCAAAGGCGGGCCAGTCCCCGAGCTGCAAATACAATTAAAGCATTTTCTGGTGGTTCTCTGGAGTGACAGCGAGCCTGTCCCAATGGCTACAGCTCTGTTTCAATTGTAAAATGCACAGCATGCTAATTGATTAATCGGGGTTCGATCGTATTGGGTTTCAGATTTTACCCATTTCTCTTCCTGTCCTAAACGCAAAATCGATGGCACTAACAATCAGCCTAATCTTACTCTTACAATCCTCTTATATTTACAAATTTAAAAAATGTCTTTCTTTGCCTGCCCTGTAAAAACTGCCCTATTAAAAACTACAGCTTCATATCTAACCCACTGGAAAGTCAGTAAACACAGACACATAGAGTGTTTTTACACCACATTTATTTAGGAAATGTAATAAGAGTCTAAAATATGGCAGATAGTTCAATAACAATTTGAAAATAATCTTAAATATGAATCCAATAAATACAGAATATGTATAGGAGCTGCTATTCACGCAGAGTATTATGACTTTGCAGAATACTTTCAATGCACTGCCTCACTTGCAATGCGTTACAGTGCTTTAAATGACCCGAACGCTTCCTGCACTGGCAAAAAGCAAGCATTTAAAGGTCACTGATGTCAGCTAAAGCCTGCAAAACCTGTTTTTTGTGTTTTTTTTCTTTATGGCCAGTTCTGATGCAATCTTATCCTGCTGTGTCTGAAGCATGGGCAGACTCAAAAAGGAAGTTTATGGTTGCACAAACTTTTATGTGTCATCAAGATAAAAGTTTATCCACATACACCAGGGTATATCTGAATAAACTTAATTTTGCCCAAAGCTCCAACTCCCCAGGTGGCTGTAATGAGCTTAGACGACTATGTCTCGACTGGCTCGGTGCACTAGCTCCATTTCAAAAGTTTCATCTGAAAAGAAAGCGCTATGTCTTCTAATTGAAGATGTTTCTTTTATACAGACTCAGGGAGTTAGGGCCCATTGCAGTCAAGTCTGAGCTGAGACTTTGATGTGAGATTATCGGGCCTCAGCTCTGTGACAGAAGGTCACCACTCTCTCACTGGCTTGATGCCTCCCCTTCTCCTTCTCCTGCCGCTCAAAGTGATCCAGCCTGCCTCTCAGTCAAATTTGAGGAAAAGAAGTACGACCAGGCTGTCAGACATGTCCAGCTTATATTGAGATGTCAACCTTTAAAATCCCCTTTTCAACATGCAGTGAAAGACAAAATCCCACCAGATTTACAGATAACAGAGTTTTACTATAGTTAAATCAGCAGGACAAGTACAGCCAATAACCTGGAATGGAAAGGATAGATACGTGTGTGTTTGAGAGAAATGAAAGATGCGGTGAACAAAAATGTTAGAGCAACAGATTAGAGATGGGAGACAAGAAAACAGAACAGAGGAGTAACAAATGAATAACAAACAGTGTTGGTACACAGAACAGAAATACAACAAATCTGGTGATTCACAGTTGAAAATATAATATTTTCCCAGGAAACTGGCTATTGGAAATGAAAAAAACAAAACAAAATAATAAATTAGTCTTTAAGTAAGTTGTGAAAGTGTGTGGTTGTCTATCTGTCTGCCCTGTGGTGAACAGAGGAAGAGGAGAGGGAGTGTTTAAATAACAATCACGAACATTTAGCAAGAGACACAAAGACAAAGTTGCACACATTTCACACACAGCATGGGCCTTTTTAAATAAACAGGTTGCTCAGCTTTGTTTGTGGATTCCTCAATAAAGAGAACATCCGGATCCACAAAAGGCTTAAAAGAGACATAAGGAGCAGACATGGCAGCCTGAATTTACAGGAGGATTTCACAACAGCAAAGATAGAAGTAAAACTTTCAGGGGAAAGAAAAGTCACCATGCATTTAAGGAGCTTTTATTTATTTATTTTTCTATCTGATATTACCAACACGGCTGCAGCGAGGAGAGGTTTCTTCTAAATGGCACTGCCATAACAGATCCAGTCACTCACCACTCCCATTTAGTGTGTGCCTTATTAAATCGCTTCCGGCTTTTGGTGAGCTGAACTTGAGCCAATCTGAGAAACCAAACACAATTTTTCTTTAGGCAGGAAACTTATTTCCGTACAAAAATTCGCACACAACCAAAAACAATATCTTATACTGTTTATTTAAAAAAAAAAAGGTGGGGGGGGGGGATAATAAATATAGCCTGGGAACCAAATGAATAAGAGAGCTCATGTTTCTTTAGCTCGTGCAGAAGGCATCCGTCTGCACATTTCCACACAGCCCTGTTTGTGTCAGGCCAATCACAAACATTCATCTAATACAGGGCAGGTTTGATGGAAATACACTGAGGAGCCCTGCTGTGGATCTTTTGTAAATAACCAAGATGGCTGCTGCTCACCTTATCTGCTACTGAGATAACGTGTGGTTCGTACAATAATTTATACAAGAGTTTCTGAAGCTATATTGACATCACTTTTGTCTCTTAAGCGGCTAGTTAATCAAATGAATAACACCAATACTGTGCTTGACATGCTTCCATCTCGCATAGCTAAGGACTGTTGTGATGTAATTGGACCTAGTATCCTATTTCTTATGAACCTTTCCTTGCTCTCAGGCTGTGTTCCTTTGGCCTTTAAGCATGCTGTAGTCCACCTGATTCTTAGAAAAAGAAACTCTGACTGTTATGACCTTTTAAATTACAGACCGATCTCTAAGCTTTCGTTCTTGCCCAACATCCTGGAGAGACTAGTTCTCTCCCAGCTCCAGGCGTACTTGGGCACGAACAATATTGCTGAGAAATTTCAATCTGCTTTTAAGCCATTGCATAGCACTGAAACAGCGTTGGTTAGAGTTCTTAATGATATTCTTGTAATTACTGATACTGGACGCTCTATGATCCTAGTTTTATTGGACCTCTCTTTGGCTTTTGATGAGCTGGACCATAACATCTTATTATTAAGACTTGAGCACACTGTGGGTATTAGAGGCACTGCCCTCGACTGGTTTAAATCATACCTCGCTGATAGATCCTTATCAGTTAACTTAGGCACCTTCTCCACTTCCTCCGCTCTGGTCTGCTGCGGTGTACCTCAAGGATCAGTTTTAGGCCCTATTCTCTTCTCGTTGTATTTGCTCCCTCTAGGCGCAATCTTTGAAAAATACAATATCGCCTTCCACTGTTACGCCGACGACATACAGATCTATTTTGAACTTACTGACGACCTTGCTGTGTCCATGCACTACTTTCAAGAATGCATGTGGGAGGTCAAAGAATGGTTCCTGAGTAATTCCCTCGTTTTAAACGATAAGAAGACTGAGACTGTGGTGTTCAACAGTAAAATCCCTTGTGTCCAACTCTGTGCTGCCCTGGGTCCCTTTGCTAGCTCTTCCTGTGACTATGTCAGTAACTTGGGTGTACTGCTGGATAGCTCGCTCAAACTCGATAAGCAAGTGTCTGCTGTAGTGAGATCTAGCTTCCACCAACTGCGCCTTATCTCTAAGGCTAGGCATTATGTTCCGCACGAGGACCTGGAGAAGCTTATTCACGCTTTTGTGACCTCCAGGTTGGATTATTGTAACTCCTTGCACTACGGTCGTCCCTCTTCTCTTCTTCTTAGACTGCAAACAGTCCAAAATGCAGCAGCCCGCCTCTTGACTGGTACCAGGAAATTTTGCTCTATTGTAGCTGGCTTGCACTGGCTACCCATAAAGTACCGTACTCAATTTAAAATATTACTCCTTACATTCAAAACTATTAATAGATTAGCGCTGAGTTATCTTAGTGAACTTCTCAGGCCACATACTCCTGCTAGAACACTCAGATCTGCCACTCAACTATTTCTGACCCAGCCCAGATCTCGGCTGAAGTCCCGGGGTGACCGTGCGTTTGCTCTCTCTGCCCCGGTACTGTGGAATACCCATCCTCTTGATATCCGCGCCTCTGATTCTATTGCACTGTTTAAATCACGACTAAAAACCCACTTATTCAATCTTGCCTTTCCCTCTAGTTAACATTTCTGTTATGATTTTATATGATGCACTTTTATGCTCATTTAATTCCTTGTTTGCTCTGTATCTGCTGCTTTCCTATGTATCAGTGACAGCTATTTTCTTGCATACCTAGTACTTGCTTTGGTCCCATTTCTATTATCTTCCTTTTATTCTCTATGTTACTTGTTAAGCACCTTGGCATACCCTTGGTTTTAAATGTGCTTCATAAATAAAGTTCATTATCATTATTATTATTATAAACCTCTGTCGGGGCCATCAAGCAGTCTGGACTGGGCTTTAATGCAACTTTATCCCCATAAATATCTCAAAGTGAGAGAGCGCATTTCTGTTACAAACAACCTGAAGACAGAAAATATTTGTTTCTGACCGACTACAGTCACTCACATATATCTCATTTCCAACAACACGGTGCCAGTGTGTCTTCAGAACTAGCCCACATTTTGACAGGTCTGAGAGCCAATTGTTACATAGTAACTGCATCTGCCAATCAGTGGTGAATTTCCTGTGGTAGCCCCGCCCAGTGACTCCAATTTTGTCCTTAGATATTTTGTGCTTTTTGGCACTTTTGTGCCACATTTGTTTTTTGAAAATACATGGGACCTGCTCTAGGAACTGGATTAGTGTAAATTCAGTTTTCTGTCCTGTTGATTAGCCCGTGTCGTTCAGCCTCACCAGCTTTGATCAGACTTCTCTCGAATCCTCCTGTTGGGGTTGTGAAAGATTAGCATCTCAGAGTGCATGTAGTCACTCTCTATTATTGTAGGGTTTTTACCGTACACATATTGTTCCAATAGGCGTGACACTGAGTGACATGTCACTTCTGCATTACTCCCTTTGATGAAGTTGCAACACTCGAGCATTTCACAACTAATGACGAGAGCAGAACGCAGGAGCTCGCACAGAAAGAGAAATTCAGTTTTAGAAAATGAAAAGCTGAAGAAACTGTAGACAAAATTCACAAATGACAAACTGATTTGCACTCACTCCTCAGGCGAACATTCACTGTTCTGTGCAAACACACAAACAGCTTGATGCTGCTACACTGATATTAAAGATGATGTTTTTCTTTGGCTAATATCCAGTGCTAACTTATGTCTTTCTTTCCTGTTATGCAGCAGAAGTAGTAAGATAAACTCTTCTTATCAATTGAAAACACAAACTTCTCAGATCGATTTGCACATTATCTAGTACGATCCAGAATATGAGAGCTAAGCACATTAATATGCACAGCAATAAAAGTAACAGCAAAATGTCTGTGTTTGGTAAAATGATCATTATCTGCTGATACATAACTGTGGTTTTAGCACTTTGACTAGATTTTGATAGAGAGTAGTAGGTGTGTGAAATGTGCTATAACACTAAGTGGAAAGCTTCTGCTGTGAGGAAATATCAATACTAAGTAACAGCAAGTAGCAAAATTACATCGTTATTTACAGCTCTGCTGCTAAATGGCTATAAAACTACTCAGAGGTCGTGTATGTGCAGTACATGCATTAATAAAACTGACCATCTAAAGAAATCTGTAACTGCTGGCAGCAGCTTGTGAAAGAAGGGGAAAATAAATTTTCATAAAAACTGTACATTAAACCAACAACTATTAATTTACCTCATTTGAAACTGAATTTTGTCCTGATGTTGTAACGTTATGTATCCCTCCCTGAGCTTCTGCTGGAGGATTCTTCCTGTAAAAAGGGAGTTCTTCTTTCCCACTGTTTCCCATCTCTAATTTTGTAAGGGGTTACTTTACATTATTAAATGCCTTGAAGTAACTGTTGTTGTCCATTGTTGATATGAAAAACAGACATGATCATGATCAGGACTGTATTTCATGTGGTACTACAGTCCTGATCAAAAGTTTAAGACCACTTAAACTTTCTTCCACCTTTCAGTGTCCCATGCTTGGTGCTCTCGTTGGCGTTCTCTGGTGGCGTTCAAGGAGACGAGGCCTTTAAAGACGTTTTTTTTTGTTTTTGAAGCCCTTCAGTCTCAGTCTGATTGTTATGGGGCTGCAGTCGGCGCCAGTAACAGCCTTAATGTGGGTCGAGGATCGTCCAGTGTCTTGACGGACAGCCAGTTGGATCCTCCGGCTCAGTGCTGGTGACTTTTTTTGGGTCTTCCACTTGAGTTTTTGTTTCATAACCCTCAGGATCATTTAAGAAATGAAAGTCTTACTGCATCCCACCTCAGCAGCGATGGCGTGCTGTGAGAGACCCTGCTTATGCAGTTCAACAACCCGACCACGTTTAAAAAGGGAACGTTTTTTTTCCTTAGCCATCAGAGCGTCATGACAGTGTGACTGCCTGACAGAAAAGGACAATGAATCCCCATTTTTGCACAGATTTGGCCTTTTAAAGGCAAGTGGTCCTAAACGTTTGATCAGCTGTAAAACAGCCTGTTTCAGTTTAAGTGTTGTTTTCAATAAATTGCTCAAAAAAATGTTTTGCCTCACTCCCATTTCTTCTTGTTGCATGTTGAAGCTCTACTTGGAACCTTGCAACCATGCAAAATAGGTTTTTTTGGTCATTTTTCAAGTGGCCTTAAAGTAACAGATCTATTTCCTTGTGTATAAAATGTTTACTTTGGCCTAGAAATGTGTGGATGTAAAGGTATGATAACTAGGCTGTCTTTTACCTTCCCTTGAACTGGCCGTCGTAGATTAAGTCCTCTGATACACACACACACACACACACACACACACACATATATATATATAAACCTTTCCTTCCCTTTCTAACCGGAACTTCTTCCACCGAGAAACACTAAAATATACTACAGTGTCACAGCTCCCTGTGTAACACTGAGCAGCAGCCACTGAGGTTTACCTGTTTCTTCGTGGAGCATCTGCCCAGCCTCCGTTTTTCGCTCCCCTTCGTGTACATGACACGACAAAATTATAATAAAAACCACTGATATCTGTTATTTATGAATAGGTGAAATAGAAATAAGAAAACAAAACAAAAACGATGTTGAAATCAAGAGAGAGCGAGCCATTATTCTCTTCTTCGTCGTCGTCGTTATCAGTGTGGTTATGGTATATTAGCGCCACCAACCGGAGATCAAGTTCTTCTTCTTGGTGTTTATGGGCGGTTGACAAACAACGAGTTCGTGCATTACCGCCACCAACTGGTATGGAGAGCAGACCAGACTGTCACTTAAATTCAAAATAATTCAAATTCAAATTTTATTTGTCACGTACACAGTCATACACAGTACGATATGTAGTGAAATGCTTGGACAACTGCTCGTGACCTAAAGAAAACAAAAAAGGAAAAGGCTATGAATAAGATAGGAAATAAATATGAAAAATTAAAAAGGGTAAATTTAACTAGGAAGGAATAAAATATAAATTAAGGTTAAAAATGAAATAACTGTACAACACAAATTAGAATGAAGGGTAAATTTAACTGGGAGAATAAGATAAAATATATAAATTAAAGTTGAAAATAAAATAACTGTACAACAAAATACACAATACACAATATAGAACTATATAAGAATGTATGAAGAAATCTAAATATAAATAAATATATACACAATAACAGCAGCTGTACAAGTAAGGATTAAGGATTAAGGATTAAGGATTAGATCCTATCATGCTAGTTAAATATTGCTCGATAGCTTTTAGTACTTCAGTTATTTCTAAGCAAATCAATTAAATCTAGTTTGAGTTTGATTGTATTTAGGTTTTGAATCAGTTGTCTTCTCTTTCTTCCGCACACTCCTGTCAGTGTAATATAACATGAGCTACTGTCTCAGCAAAGCGCTCACATATTCACATGTTTCCCTAAAATGAAAAGTGTTCCGTTTATCCCAGCGTGCCCAAATCTGAGACGTGAAATGATTGTTTCTCATTTCTCCAGTTTTCCTTTGGATTTTATAAAACCACCGTTCTTTCCTTTCTTTCTCCCATTGTTTTTGCAATCTCTCCTTTATTTTTTGTTCTAATTGATCTACTACAGCTGATAATTAATTGCACTAATCCTTTTCCAGTGGCTCTTTTTTGCAGCCTTATCTGCCATTTCATTTCCCTTAACACTATAATATGCTGGTGGCCATACAAAAGTTAATCATTAGTCCCGTTATGTTTACTCTGCATGGTGTTTGTTGAGTTTCTATTAAGATGTCTGGTCGACTTTCTGCATGGTTGCATTGTAAACTTACTAACGATGAACTGGAATCTGAACAAATTACTGATCTTAATGGTCTCGTGTCTTCAACCCACTGGACAGCTAATAATATTGCAACCATTTTCCTGTGTATACTGAAAGTCCATCATTGATCCTTTTGCCTTCTTTATATTAAAGTCTGGTGTAATAAAAGCCTCTACAACATCTGTATACGTTTGTACAGGATTCTAATGGTGACTAATATATTTCTGTGCCATATGTGAGTTTAAAATAAACTCCTTATCCTCATTTCTATCTACTGTAGCCAAGTTATTTTTTTTTCCAGGTTTGACTGATTAATAAACATCACACGTCCCTGGATTATATTTTTCCCAAATTTAATCAGTGATTACTTCATATTATTATTATTGTTGTTTCTCAGGATACCAACTTCTGTGCTGCTGTATTAAGGTTTTGTTTGGGTTTTTATTTTCATATTTCATTTCCTTTGATCCGTGCATGTTCTCTGTCCTATTGTCTGTGTGGTTGTGCTTCAGACTGGTTAATTATCCACTGCTGACAATATGATGACACCTAAAAACACTTTGTTAGGTACATGTATTCAGTGCATGTACATTTCATGGCATGGATAGTAGTGTTGAGTACTCTGAAATAGTCTGAATATTCATAATATACTGAAGTACTGGAATTTTCCTGCACAACCATTTCTGAGCTTTACAGAGAACGGGCAAAAAACAGAAAATTTTTGCAGAATGGCAGATCTTTGGCATCAAACTAACAGGGCGGAAGGAAACAGTAAGTCAGCTAAGGACAGGAAACTGAGAATAAAAAAACCATCGCCTGGTTTGATTAGTCTTGACCTCTGCTGTGACAGTCAGACAGCAGGGTCAGAATTTGGTGTAAATTCACAAAAGAATGAATCCATCCTGTCTTGTATCATCAGGTAAGGTTGCTGTTGGTGGTGTAATGGTGCAGGAGTACTGCTGCTGAGCACGTCCGTCCCTTTAGGACCACAGTGTACACATCCTCTGACGGCTACTTCCAGCAGGATAATCTCACGATGTCGCAAAGCTCAAATCAAATCAGGACAAAAGTGTACTCCACAGTCACCAGATCTTAATCCAGTCGAGCACCTTTGGGATGTGGTGGGGTGGAAGTGTTGCATTATGGATGTGGAGTAGGGCTGCCACAAACGATTATTTTGATAGTCGACTAGTCACCGATTATTTTTGCGATTAGTCGACTAATCAGATCATCATCCATGGACGTAAAACGTACAGCTTATTGCACCAGCAGCATCTGCTCTTATATAACTATCATTAGCTTACAGCTTTAAGTGTTTAAGGTCTGTGCTAACTAAAAATAAAGACAAGATGATAGTTTATTAAATTTTAATGAAATTTGCAGATTGTTTCGGTGAAGTTTAATAAACTCCTTGCTATCTAAAATATAACAGGACACCGGAGTATATTCTCCAGCATCTCACACTTCTGATAATCAGCTGTCTGCTTGACGTTTATTCAGCTGTGTAAAAACTATAACTTTAATCTCAGCCAAACCGATTTACTCAGGAACAAATAAAATACTGAAAAAAGCCAAACAATAACATTTTTAAGTTATCTAAGTGACTCATATATCATGTTTAACCTGAGTAGCGAAAGACGGCGGTGGGTTTGAAAACGATTTGCCGGGAGTCCGGTGTTCTCACGGCGCTAGTGACCTAGCCCCCGGCTAGCTATCGAGCTAGTGGGTAACAGACGTCTCCGAAAACGTCGGAGCGCTTTTGAAAATATGTGGTGTCCTGATAAACTGAGCAGATATTTGAGGTTTACACAGCTACATTCTCGCCTGAAAATATGTTAAACGTTTATTTTGTGACCCAGAAAGAATAATAAGAGTAATATTAAAACTAACTAGCTCCGCCATTGTTGGAAACTGAGCTGGGCCGCGCTATGAATTCTGGGACACAGCTGCTTCTTCTTCTTCGGGGTTTAACGGCAGCTGGCATCCTTGTACATGCAGTGCTGCCATCTTCTGTTTCAGTCCGTTATTACACTCTTAAATCCTGCTACTTATTCCTGCGTCTTTTGGGATCTTACAAAGCTTCAAACGACGCGTCGACTATTAAATCAGTCGTCGACGATTTTGATAGTCGACTAATCGTGGCAGCCCTAATGTGGAGCCAGCAAATCTGCAGCAACTATGTGATACCATCATGTCAACATGGACCAAAATGAATAATGTTTCCAGCATGGTGTTAAATCTGTACCATGAAGAATTCAGGAGCCTGCCTGTTACCAGTGAGGTGTACCCAGAAAGAGGCCAGTGAGTGTATTCCCAAAGTGAAATGCTGAAAATTATCCAACATATTGCAGATTTTGTTTCCGCCATATAAACGTTCTTCTGTGCTCTTCTTTCTACTCCCATTCACTTCCAATCTGACATCACAAACACTCAACACTTCAAGGTTCAAGGTTCTTTATTTGTCACATGCATAGTTATACAAGTATAACACACAGTGAAATGTAGCCTGACACGCTCCTCGACATGTGCAAAAATTGGGGGGGGGGGGGGGGGGGGGGGGGGGGGGGGGGTGGGGGGGATAGAACAAAAAATTATATATATATGATATATATATATATACATGGTAATGTGCATATACAGAAGAGTGAATTTAATACATTATATATCATCATGTGATATCATATATATCAATATTGTATATTACATATATATATATGATATTATACATATATAATACACATACGTGTATATATACATATATATAATATGTGTATATATACCATATATATGATCACATGTGTATATAACATAATATACTTATATATATATATATTATTTTATTTAATGAATATATATGTATATATATATATATATATATAGTATATACACTGGGTGAATGTGCAGTAGTAGCAGCAAGCAGGTGAATTCTGTACATTAATATGAATAGACATCTGACTTTATGAAACTTATAAAATTATATTGGAAAACCATGATACTTCAATACATCCCTCTATTTTTTTTAATCGCCTGTGAACCCTCTTCCAGTTTCTAGTGCAAGAGGTGTGGTGCACCAGTCCAACACAAGGTAACACAGAGAGACAGACAGACAAGCAGCAGTTTGGGCTGATGGAGGAAGGCATGAGCTACTTTTGATTCTCAGTTCTTTTGTATAAAATGATCGTTTTTTGTAAGGAACATTATCTTTGTTGTAAATGACGACTCCTGGAGGTTATTTGCAAAAACACGAAACAGAAAAGCTCAATAACACACTTCTTCAGCGTTTATGTCACTGAGACCCACAAACTCACAATCTCTTCAACATCATCAGAACCATCAAATAAATGTAGTGTTTTTAAAATACACTCATGGCTCCCAAGGACCCAGTGAGGAAACAGACTTCTGGCTTCCTGTTCAGAAGGTCACACTCGCTCTCCTGATTTCTTTTTTTTCGTCTCATCTTTGGCTCGTATCTCACTTCCTGCATACATTCTTTCTCTCGTTTAATCAGCCACTCTGGCACGTGACCCCTTAGTGTAGAAGTACTAATATCATGTGATGTGGTAATAATAAACATGGGAACATTGGAGCCCTGCATTTATAACACTTTTAACATACTAATCAAAAATCCTGACAGTTTGCATTTCAGTCGACAAATGCACGTCACCTCTGGCTCAACAGGTCACATTACTTTGCCTCAGATGTCCATGTCATGTTTCATCTGACAAAGAAAACTGTTTTTTCTTCTTCTTTCATACAGATGGGAATGAAGGCTCAGCACAGTCAAGTCTCTGCGGTGCTCAGACTTTGAAGTGAGATTACCGGGGCCTCGGCCAGACAGAAGGTCACCACCGTCTCACCAGGCTGGTGCCTCCTCTTCATCTCCCTCCACTCAAACTGATCCAGCCTGCCTCTCAATTAAATCTGAGGAAGAAAATCCCATCTGGCTGTCAGACACAGACTCTCAGATACCAACCAGAAATGTAGCAGGAGACTCAAAGACAACAGAAACAATGAGCCACAGACTTCACTCAGGTAACATAGATCTTTATTTAAATTACAGATGAATTTATATCAAATATATTTCCAGAAAACATAAAGTATATCTCTCTGAATAAATGATCTAACCCAGCCGATCTTAACCTTTCTTTGGATTTTGTTTGGACATTAGCCGTGGGACGTTTCAGTAAAGGTAAATTATTGCTCCCGTTTTTTCAATCTGAGAAATTTTCATTAACAAAGCTGAACCAAAAGAAAAAAAGAAAAGATTCAAACATTACAAAACAAACAAACAAAAAAGAAAAAAAAGAAAAAGACAACCCCATATCATGGTGAAGTGGAAAAGTCCATACTGATTAGTGATTAGCCTCATCTCTTAAATCCTGGTGACCCTCGACTTGTGCACAAACATTTCTGTAAGTGAACGGAGAGTTTTCAGTCAGGAAAAAAAGGCTACACGAGAATTTATTCTGTCGTGAAGGAAATGAATGCTTCTCTGATACTTGGCTGCAAGCCGTCACCAGCTGTCATCTCTTCATCCACACGAGGTCAGTGTTGCACACTAAAATGAAAACGATGCCTGTATTTGTTTACATCAATGATCTATGGTTGCTATTCTCAACCTAAGGAAAAAACAAAAGAGCAAAAAGGCGTGTAACAGGCTGCTCTGAGCCTGGCTTGTGTTATGAACTGTAGAGTCATATTTCAGCAGCATTTCCCCAGTGAAACGGCTCAGAGAGATAACTTAAGTTTATGAACTGAAACATTTTAGTGACTGAAAATGGGACAAAACTGAGCGCAGGTTACGAGCCACGAGGACGGGGCGCACCGGTGTCACACACTGAGGTATTTTTAATGTAAACACGTTTCTCTGTAGCACTTAAAGCCAAGATTTGTTTTTTTGCACTCTTGGTAAAGCAATAATTTTATCATAACAAAACATACAGTCACAGTGCATCTGTATCCTGATAAACAAAGTAAGAGCATTTACATGAGTCCAACATTAAAGATCACTGCACATGGATTTATAAAGCTCATTGTCGTAAAAGGTGAAACATGTTTCAGTAAAACCGCACTTTTATCACGTGCACATCCACAAAAGTTCAGCCATCTTTGACCCTCTGCAGTCACAGGGCTCTGTTTCCAGCACTAATTTACAATTATAGTTTTTAACTGTTCAAGCAAGTGTTTAAATAAAACAATCATGCGTTGAAAAGATAAATAAAGGTCAAAGTTTCCAGTTAAAGTAGTGCCCTTTCTGTGTTGCTGTGTTAGAAATATGAAGTTAAAGGCTAAAAAGTAATCTGTGACCATGTAATTGATACACTAATTACTGTATTTCAGGCGATTGCATAGCTAACAATGAAAATAACTATAAACTCATACTTTACATAAGTGTAAGTAACATATTAAACCTTGATTAAATATATAAATTGACACTGCTTTACACTTTATTGGTTCTAAATCGTTGCATTGATGCATTTACACTGTGCTTTATGCAGCGCCCTCCAGAGGTGTTGTATATTACAACAAGTCTTGTTTCATTTTCATGTTTTAAATAAATTAAACTAATTTAAAAAGCCTAAAGTAGCAAAAGCAAAACACATGTGCCATCTTTTCTTGTTATACTGCCTTGCAGTGGACTGTAAGGATCGTCCTAAGTGCTTGTTTGATGCTCAGGAAGCTTTGGAAACCCCCCTCCTCTTACCCCGTCTGACTCTGGATTTGAGGGATTTCTAACCTCGATGATTTCGTTTGCACGCTGTACACATTCAGTAATCCTGCCATGGTTTAAAATAATACACTTTCAGGATCGGACGAGGTTTATTTGTCGTCCAGCGTTAACCCGAGTGTTAAAATATGTGTCAGTCAGGTTTGGGGGGTTGACAACGTTGGTGGTGATGTGCTTTTGGTAAGAAGGCGAAAAGCAGGTATTGATCTTTTTCACGATTGCAGCAGTTGAGTAAACTAACAGAAATGTTCTTTCAGAGTTAAATTAGATTTTCACGTCGTCAGCACCGTTTCTCAGTCTTGGAGTTGCCTTTCAGGACGATGTGAGGTAATCCAACAGCCCATCTATCACAGGGCCAGTACTGCAGTCCAGGCAGCGAGTACGGTATCTCGTAGTTGGCATCCAGGTAGGCTATCAGCGTGCTGCCGTAGGCTACAGCTATCACAATCAGAATGTGCCTGAAGGACGGATAAATCGAAGGTCAACACAAAGACACGAACCATTTTTGTCCTAAAACTGGGGCCTGTTCATGATGCGTTCACGGTGGATAAACGATCCCAAGACTGGAGGTCGGGGTTCACGGTACCAAAGTTTGCAAACGCTGATCTAATGTTACAGTAAACTCATCTTTTCGTTTTCATTCAGGAATTCATCTGAATGTTGATTCTGTTCATCTGGACGTTTTCAGTGGGAGAAACGTTTCGTCATCATCAGGTGACGTCTTCAGTCTCAGCCGACTGCAGGTTTCAACCTTATAATCAGGACATTTGCACACTGACTGAAACCAGCAGCACTGAAGGAACGATGAGCTGTGAGGTCAGTTCCTTGATCACTCTTTCGAGGAGGATGTAACATCCTGGACAGGGAGGAACGCTGGTTTGAGCGCGGAGTCAAGGAGGCCATTAATGTGAAAAGGGAAAGACCATCTCTGAATGGAGGAGGGGCCTAAGGGTGCATCTCTTGATTGATGATCGAGGAACTGAGCTCACAGCCCATTGTTCCTTCAGTGGTTTCAGTCATTATGCAAATGTCCTGTTTAAAAGGTTGAAACCTGCAGTCAGCTGAGACTGAAGACGTCACCTGTATGACGAAACGTTTCTCCCACTGACAACAGAATCAACTTTTTGGGATTTACTGACCTGGATGATTGAGCATACATCAAGACAGTAATTCATCTTGTTGATATGAAACAAACATGCAGACAAGTGAAGATAAAGAAATAAAAGAAATGAACGGGAAGCCAGGACTTGCCAAAAACCATGCAGGTAGCAGAAGTTGATCCTCTGCCAGAAGCTGCAGCCAAAGCGGTCACCGAGCCAGCAGGAGATGGCGAGCACCCACAGAGCGATCGACAGCTTGGCGAGTCGCAGAGCCTTCTGGTCAGTGCAGCTGAGAATGACGGAAAATGGATGATCGCAGGAAAGCAAACGGCAAGGTGCACAATCAGGTTTTCACGTGTCTTTTTCTTACCATTTCATCTCCGTAATCAGAGTGTAAAGCAGATGGAGGCCGAAGCAGTTTAACGCGTAGGCGTTGGCCGTAGGTTTGACGAATGACGACACCGAGCTGATGACCGTGATCACCAGGACGAGCTTTGAAAACGTGGATCTGCGTTGGAGCGCACAGAGACAGAAATAAACACGCACCTGAAGCAGACGTTTAGTTTTATTTTGGCATCATACTCCAGCCCGTACGGACTCACGGGTTTGATTTCACCACATGCTTTGTGTAAAGCATTCTGTGAGGCTGGTTTGGATGGGTGCAAAGTGAATAAACATGATTGTTACAGCAGTCTAGCAAACCATGAAAGAAAACCTGAAAAACAGGTTGTCCTCCCTATACTCACACTTCTAATAAATAAACTCGTCATTGAGCATTCTTCGTGTGCAATAACTGGGAGGCCTTTTTATCTAAAGTTGTGATTACCTGACAAACGCAGGTCTAAAAGTAATTTTGAGTTGTATGTGGATTCCTGCTACACTCGACAGCTAATTCCCAACTCTGCCTTTTAACAGAATTTGTCTGTGTATACATTCATAAAAGACAGAATTTGCAGAAAAAGTCCTGAATAAAAACCGTTTCTTTAGGACCAGGAGCAGCAATGTGCACTCAGGAACCTCCTGTGTTCACCTGAGCTCTGTCACTTACAGTCAGGGCTGCACGTTTGTGGACAAGGATGCAGCTTTTTAAATTTTGCCTCTACAGCAAAGTGGATTTTAAATAAAACATTCAAGCGTGGACTTTCAGGTTTAGTTGGACAGTTTGAACCAAAGTCCTGCCATTTTTATACGCGGCCGCTGTCGTCAGAGGCTCGTGAGTAACTGGACAAGTAGCTGACAAGCAGGTGAACCAGGTGAGGCTGGTTTCTCGGCTACGTCGTGACAAATTCAGCACATAGAAGAACTGGAGTCGAGTCTCAGTGTTGAATGATCATTTGGGAGCTTTTAACAGGAATTCTTTCTTAATGTGACGGTCAAAGATATGTTGATGCAAGTGAAGAAACTTTGCGAGCGGCCAAATCAACAATCCGGCCAGTTCAGCAATGCCTGAAAAGGCCTGAAAGACCACAGAAGGTAAAGGTCTAATATCAAGACATGCCTTCATGAATTGAAATACAGTAAGTTTGCAACAAGGCGTCCAGCGAGGATACATTCAAGAACAAAAAGGCGACATTACAGGAAAACATCGAAGCGCTTGCACAGCTGCCCCCGGCGTTTATTAATCACATGATTGCCGATAGAAGTAGCAGAACGAACTGTGAAGCGTGCAGGGCTGTACTCTCTGCTCACACAGTGTTTGTAGTGCAAATGGATCATGACTATTTTTCAACAGCCAAGCCAGTCACCATTTCAACACAACAGAGCAGCGACTGAAGGTGGCTGCAGTGAAAGCCTGGAAGAGCTTCTCAAGGGAGAAAGCACAATATTTGGTGACATCTATGAGTTCTAGACTTCCTGTCATGCTCGGACGGTCCTTCCCGGGGTGACCTGTGTGTGTGTATGTGTGTGTTTCTCTCTCTCCTCCTCCTCCTCCACCCAGCGGCTGACACACCTGCACCTAATTTGCCACCCAGCTGTCACTGATCATCCTTCGTTGTGGGCTGAGGTATTTACCTGGGTGTCCAGATGGCAGTCGACGCTGGATTGTACTTGAAGCTCGGTAGTAAAGAGTGTTTTGTGACTTGCAACTTAGCTTTAGCCGGCTAGCCTCCTCACCGGTTGTTTTTGCTCGTTTGTAGGAGGAAGAGATACGGAGCTGGAGGTTGGAGAGAAGGAGCCCGCGGGATCAAGCTATTGGAGGAGAACACACACTCGGATAATCACTTTGGAAACTCACCTGCGCACCACTGGGAGTTTGGAGAAGATCACTGTTGGACTTTGCACTTCACTTTGTGTTTTGAGACTGTTTTTGGGGCACTGTAAATAAACGCACTGTGTACTTTGCATCCAGAGCTCCGCGACTGAGTCCGTATTTTCCCACTACCCGTGACACTTCCTTTTCATCCAAATATTAAAAACAATCCTTATATTATAAATGACATTAGTTGGTCCAGTGACTCTTGAGCCTGAAAATGGGGTTATGTGGATAATTACACAGTCATACTGTTTGATTCAAAAACACAGAAGCAAAATGATAAAAACGTCACGATTAGACTTCACTGCAATCACAGCGGCCTCGGCTGTTCGGGAGGAGCAACCCACTGGATCAAACACTGGAAAATCACTGTGAGGTTGTTGATGCCAGGGGGATTGTTTCACACATCAAATGTTCATTCGCCTGTCGCACCTTGCAGTTTAAATATTTACACAGGTTGGGTGGAGCTCTGTTTTTACAGCCCCGTGTCCATCAAGGTGAAGACTGAACCACCACATTTGGGACAATGACGAACCTTTGAGCTGTTAAACTGGCTCCTCGTCCGGCCGGGATAAGGTTTCACAGTGGCATGTGTTGGAAACGCTCTGTTATTGTTTTGCATCATCCTGAAAGACCACTGATCTCCTTAGAAACACGCAGAGGCACGAATAAACGCCGGACACAAAGACCTTGGACTAAGTTGTCGAAACACAGATCAGTCATCTGTCGCTGGGTTAATGGTTACAAGGTCGACATACCTGTCTTTTATAAAAGAAGGGAAGAGTCTGCGAGGGAACCAGATGGCATAACCGACCGCCAACACCCACAAGATCGAGAGCTCGTCCAACATCTGACCGACGAAACTAAGAGTCATGTGAAAGTACGCCGAGAACAGCCCTGCAAAGAAGAGAGAACGAGAGAATGATGTCGAATTATTCATGTTTTTAGGAATTTATAGGCGAAGGCAAGTATAAAACGGGTAAAGTGAGACGTGTTACTGCACGTTCACAGATGGTTAAGAGCAGTGCAGGGGAGACATGCAGAGCTCCAGTTTGCAGCTGACTTCTCTTCTCGTGCTTTAGTTATTACATTTAAACTCGCATACTGGTTAAACTGGTTCGGCTACTGTTGCAACTAATAAGTATTTCTTTTAGTGTCATAAGCTTTAAGAAAACCTAGTCAGTTCAGAGAAGCTTCAAACATCTGCTACAGATCTTCCTACTTGATAACACATTTCTTGTGATATCTATTTCATCTATACTGAGTCAGCCTGTTTCACAAACACAAAACATTTCGTGGATTTATTTTGCAGACATACGGCTGAAGTTGGTTTAAATAAAGAAAGAAAGACAGAACTGACCTACAAAAATCATCATGACCCAAACCAGGTGGATCGCCAAGCTCCTCTCTTTGGCATACGGGTGCAGAAGGTAGAGCATGATGGGAGAGATAATGAAGAAAATGAAGCTGCTCATCTGCAGGGAAAACATTAAATCGATCACCAGTCCAAAGTGTGGCTTTGAGTTGCAGTTGTTGGGCTGGTAGCGCCACTGCAAGTGTCTCCTGAATAAAAAGCTTTCAGTTTACCGTGTTGAAGGACTCGACCACATGCTCAGAGTGTCTGTAGTTGTCTTCGCACCAGTCGATTTCTGAACTCTCATAGGAGAAAACTCCCGCCATCCCCTCGCCGGAGTGAACACCTGAGAGACGCAGGGACAACAGTGACTCTGGTGTAACAAGCACACCTGCATTTTTCAGTAGTCAAATTAAGGTGTTTGTATATGTGGTGTATGGAAATCATTATCCCCTCCACCCAGCAGTCAAATGCCAATCGCACCCTTTTACAATTTCACTTAAATGTCAGTCCCTGCTGGCGCATACGTTTCCCACGATGCAACCGGACAGCATGTTCAGCAACGTCCTACAAACAGCCCAGAAAATGTGACCGATTCAGACGACAGCGTACGTTGCTCCACTTTTATTATATTTTTATGACATGATAAAAATGGCGCCGTATACACAAACAGACTTTTTGCTCCATGGTTAATGTTTTGTAAGCATTAGTGCACCACACCGACACGATCCAGTTAAATCAGAGGTCATTAAAACTCAGACTTTTGTCATTTTGAATATCAAATTCCTCTTTGGTACTACAGTAAGTTCATTTCCATAGTTGTATCCCTTTTAATTGCTGGTTCACTTTAGCGTAGGATGAGGACACTTCACACTTCTGTGCTATTAAAACACAACCTGCCATCTTTCCTAGAAGGCTGTCAGATGTGGCACAGTGTGTGATGAATGGTGCCTGGTTCACAGTATTTGTTGGACTTGATTTATTGCATCATTATTATATGGCTTTTATTTACACTTACAGTGTAAATAGGGAGGGGGGTTCACATTCACAAAAGTACACACTGGACTTGAGCTGGAATTGCTTTTAAACCTCAGTATGGCCTCGAAACTGGGACTAAAATTTTCCCAATGACTTTTATATCCACAGAGGCCAAGGCCGCTCATTTCAGTCTCACCACTGTGGGGCTGTTTTTGACTGAATCTGGATATTTTCTACAGCAAATTATTACCTGGAGCTTTCAAGAGTACTCAGTTTATTATGCAGCCTAAACAGGAAGTCGTCATCAGAACGCCACCCTTCATGTTGATATCTGAATTACAGACTTTTAACAGTGTCAATAAACTTATTTCAGAGTTTGCACTGAAATACAGAGTTTATAGGTGTACCTAATAAAGTGGTTACCGATGGGAAAAGAAGTACTCCGCCTTTAAGTACAAGTTGTAATACTACTGAAATATTACAAGTCTCATCATATATGTACTTGTTTTCCAGAACAATCGATGTCAGGATACTAACATATTACTGCATAACACTCTGTTATGTACCACAGTGTAATTCAGGCGACTGAACACTGAAAGAAAAATATTATCTATAGAAACAACTCCCAGTTTATCTGTTGATTAGAACTCGTATGAATAACCTAGACTAGGAAAATAGGCAGTTGAGTTCAAAGGTCATTAAGTAAAGGTGATGAAGTAAAAGCATAAAGTACAAGTACTTCGAGAAAGTAGTTGAGCACAATATATTAAGTAACAGTAAATCACTATTTATTACCATCCTGAGGAGTAAACATCGGAGTTTTCCTGACAGGGAAAAACCTTTTTGTCCGAAATATGAATATTTGGACAAAAAAAAGTGTCCCAATAATTAAAAAGTTTATTTTTTTTCTCATCACAGGGTGTTCAATGGGAAACCGGCTCTTACCTGCCATGCTGTCGTCCTGCAGCCCGGCACTGCTGCTCTGCTCCAGGTGCTGCAACAGGTGGATTTAACGAGGCGGGGTTTTGAAACGCTCGCGATCCCGAAGCACGAGCCCAGTAACGTCACTGACGGTCACGCGAAAAGGTTTCAAATCTCTGGGACAATATGTCATCACAGAGAAAATGTCTGGAATGAGCTCGTTTGTTTTTCTTTCTTCATTGACAGTTTACCAGGCCCCGGGGAAAGAGCAGGAACCGGTTACTCAGCAGTAACGTAGAAACGACCATGTGGGGCAAAAAAAAACAAAAAACTTTAACGGGCTGTAAACACACGACAGGCGACTGGAGGGTTCAGAGGAAACCTGAAAAGAAACACGCAAAACCGTAACAGGTGTTCCAGGTAGCACCTGTCTGAGGAATCTCAGGTTTTTCCTAAAGGAGGCTCAACCAAATCTGCCGCATTTCAAAATAAAAGCATAATCCTGCAGCGGAGGAGCAGGTGTGGTGGGAACACGCCGAGTCTTGAAGGTGAAACTCCAAATAGTTGCATTCATATGGTTTAACTCAAAACAAAGAAAGCATTAACTGCGCACACTGGCTTAATAACGTTTGCTGCGATAGAAATTGTTTGGAAAAAAAGTACTCGTGTATTTAATTACAAATAGTTACCTAATATTACCGAAAGTACTCGTCGGTCTCCCGTTTCAGGCTACACGTTGTCTTCTTATGTCACGGTTTTTCAGTGCATGCATTTTTACTCTTTTGGGCAGTACTGTGACACTGTGCTGCTGCAGTTTGAGTCTTAAACAAATCCGCGATGAAATCAATGGGCTCCAGTGTGATCTCGTTTTTTATCACATGTAGAAGTGTTTATGATCTGTAAAGTTAAAAAAACAAACCGCTACGACGAAATCTGAGACAGATGAGCTGTTAATCTCTCATAATTTAGAGAAAAATAGGTGCAGCACCAATCAGGAGGCTTTGGCCAATCCAATTACTGCAGGCTGCGCAGCTTTAAACGAAGCTGCTGAGACGCAGGTTAAAGGTCTGTGCTGTGGCCTGTTTGCAGCAGCTGATTATTATTTTGGTTAGATCTTTGCACAATCTGTGCATCTTTCAGTGCCTCCATGTTTTTAAGAATTAAAGCTGGCAAAAAAAGGTCCAACTAATACCAGCAACGTGTACCTCAGTGAGCAGATATCACAATACTACTTGTAGGAACAGGAAATCTCTTTTGGGAGCTTTTTCTTTAGAGCTACGTTTCAGAACAGGCATAATATTATTTTTGGGAGCAAACATGTCAAACTTTATAACAACCGAAAGAAAAATCTTTCTGAGGGAGTCTTTATTTTAATCTTCTCATTCACATAAAAAATCCTGAACAAAATGACTGAAAGTGATCACATATTTTACAAAAATCCACCACAAGTTAAAATAAAAATACAAAGCTGGCCAAAATAATCACATTCAAGTTCATCCATCTCTTTCTTTGTGTTCTGCTCTTCACAAATGTTTTTCTAACTTACTGGCAACACAAAACAAACACGTGCAAAAGTCCCCGAGGTAAAAAACGTGGAAATAAAAGTTTTTTCCTTTTTTTATCAAAACGAAAATACAAGAAAATACCACGAGAAATATCAGTAAAAAAATTCAGAGTATAAAAAAGATAACTGACATTAAAATGTTGCTCTCTTAATGGCTTTGATTTGATCTGAAGTTTCAGAGCAAAAGCATCATCATCATCAGTATTTTCAAAAGTCTGTTATCACTCGATTAGACGCTTGTTGACTTAATCAAAAGAAGTGGTCGTCATTGATCGTGAAGAAAGCTTCAGGCAGATAAAACAGTGTAAACATCAGGAAGCGATGCAGTATTTTCATGCTGCTCTTCTGTCACGCCTTCACTCGGCGTAACTTGAGTCGTGGAGGAACCAGTCAGAGGTGACGTCGAAGACCTCGCTGGTTTCTTTCTCAACGGGATTGTTTGACACCAAGACAAAGATGGAACCTGAGCAGCTATTTGCAGTTGTGCTTTAGCAATAATAAACCCAAGAGTAATCCTTCATGTGTTCTGCTTCTACGGCACGCTGCCGGGTAAATTAGCTGGGGCTCAAACATCAGAGAGCTCGACCCTTTGAAAGCCCCGATGCATCCGTGAACAACTCGCAGGCAGTTTCTGAATGTGCTGAATTACATCTGTTTATGAGCAAACACAGACACGTTCGCAAGGTTCTCATCAAATCTTTTCCACATAGTTACCCGGGAAGAGACCTTCCTTCCCTCCAATTCTGCCCGTCCACCAGCCTGACGGGTCTGCGGAGAGAAACGGTAAAGAAACACGTCATGAACCACTTCCAGTCTATCTCATCAATGTGCATCTCCCTACATGTCGTTGCTTTCGTGCACGCACCTTCTTTGACAAGATCTAACACATCATTGGCCTCGAAGCTGATCTCATCCGTGTCTTGGCCGACGTACTGATATAACGCCCGGCAGCGAGGACCCTGAGGTCGAGGCTGCGGTTTAGGAGCAGGAGGAGGTCGCTGGTGGATGCTCATTTTCCTCTGCTTCCTGTGACAAAGGGGGAAAAATGAGGTGCTCATGACCATAATTTATTCACATCTTATTTATTTACTAACATGAATAAAATTAACTTTTAACTGCCACGCGTGGGTTGAAGATGGCAAAAGTGCCAAAAGTTGCAGTTCCTCAGCTGGCCACTGGGGGCTGGCTCTAAAAGCGAGTCAATCCCAATAAAGTCTCATGTTAAAATATCTAAATTTACAACAGGAAAAATATGTTTTGCTCTCTGTAGATATTGATCCCCTTTGTTCTCCGTATGAGAGGTAATTTCTGTAAAATTTACCCCTTAAAAGGCTTAAAGTTGGGCTTAATTATAGCTGCCTCTGAGGAATCAGCTGTTCAGTTTCCTTCTAACTACTGATTGTTTTAATAATTCATTTTTAGCAGAATGCAGCATCCAGTTTAAGACCACAGTCAGTGAACTTTGCAAACCAGCACTAGTCTCGGCTAAAACATCCTCAGGACTCATCCCAGTCCGGTCTCATCCGTATCCCAAAAAAGCAGCGGTCAGAATAACAGACCGTCAGCTGAAAAACAAACAAACATAAAAGCAGGGTGTTGTTGTCGTTGACAGAGTCTTTGACTTTAGCCAACAGCGTGCGCCACACCCTGGATGGATTAAAGAGAGGCTGTCGTGATTTTTCTCCCCAGAATTAAGGAATTAATGTGTTTAAATCTCTCTCAACCCCAACATTTATTTAACCAGACTTTCTGACCCGCCTCTGAGTGCAGCTGGTAGGAACTACTTTGTTCCCAGAACACCCCCCCCCCCAAACCAGCGAAACAGCATCTAGTATTGAAGAGATGATTCAGTAATTCAGTGTAAAACAAACAGGTTTCTCTGCCTCGCTCTAACTTTCAGTTACTCGCAGGTTTCAGCCTCACCTTGGTAATCCCTCACAAACCACACCTTCCTTTCTTTTTTAATGTCTTTTTTAAACATGTCTTACCCTGACATGCCCTGATCAGGCACATTAAGGAAGTCCAAGTTTCCTTGGTTATACTGGTTTGGCGCTGGAGGTCGGGGCCCTCTCTGGGATCCCAGTTTGGGCGGGCCTCCCTGGAGTGGTCGGCCCTGCTTTTGCGGGGAGGAATACGTGATATCGGCTTGTGGGTTATGAGGACCTCTGGGGAATTTGGCTCCACCGTTCTGATGCACTGAGGAGAGAGAACGAAGCGTGTGCTTCAATAACAGAGCAGCAGTACGACGGTAAAGACTCAGAACGGCCCATTTCAGTGTTACATGACACGACTGTTATCACTGGTGCCTTTGCTGCTTTATTGTTTTACAGCTTCACATACTGCAGCCATATGTCGTACTGAACGCGCTTTTATTTACGACCTAGATGTACAAAGTAAGCAATCGGCTGTTCAATACACAAAGTAAAAAGGATTATGATTGAAACAGCTGAAAAGTTAATCAAAATACAACAGAGTGTAAATACTGCAGTACTTTATGTTTCAATAAGTACATCCACACTTCCTGTTTAGTTACTTTGAGCCACTGGGAAGGGTTTTTCCACAGGTGAGGATCACAGGTGAGTAGTAGCTTACATTTGGGCGCTACGTGGTTTCTTCCTCCTCTTCCTCCACCAGAAGACGGAGGAAACGACTTCCTGGTTGGCTCTAATCAAAAGAAGGGACAGTTAGGATGCTTATACAGGCAGCATTTTATTTACTATTTAAATTTGTTCCTACTTTTTTCAAGTCTATACGGCATCATGACTTATTTTAACCTACTGGAGGATTTGGGTAGACCATCTCCTATTGTGACAGACAGGGTCTTCCCTCCAGGTTTGAGCTGGGCCACGTCTCCAGGGCCTTTCTGGAACACTACTATTCTGGTGCCTCCTCCACCCCAGCCCTCCTTCTTCACTCTGAACTCCAGCCTGAAGCAAGAAGAACCTGCGTTAGTCACCCCTGCGTGTTTTTCTCATGCTAGCAAAGGCTGTGTGTTCCTCCACCGACCTGTCACCGAAGGAGATTGTCAGTTTTCTTTTTGTCACTTCCTCGTAGCGTTTGGAAAGCAAACTGAGGAACTCTGTCTTAAAGTTGGATTCCAGCAAACTGTCATACTGGGCTTCGTGGAGGATGAAGAAATCATCCTGTCTCGTACTAAGAAGGAAAAAAAATACCATGAACTCACTCTTGCTGAAGTTTAAAAACAGAAAGAGGAAGCAGTGCGGGTAACTGAAACACTGAAAGACATTCAAGGAAGCATTAAAATAGCAGCAAGAAGAGAGCAGAGGATGCAGTTACATTTTTCACTTCAGCAACAGCAGCAGTAACAACATACACAGGCTGCATAAAAATGAGAGATTTTAGTAATGAATCTGTGTTAATTAGATACACACCTGAGAGAGACACTGCTGATGCCTCCAAACTCCATCTTCCGCTTTAGTACTTCCTTTATCTGTCCTTTCTCGGGTCCTTTCTTCACCTTCTCTCGGCCAATCAGATAGATGCCTTTCGGTGTCAGGATCAAATCTCTCTTGATAGACTGGGTTGGGGGGAGAAAAGGAAAGCGGGTGACTCTGGGGACAAGGTACAACTCAGTTACTTATACAGCGCCAAATCACAGCAGCAGGCGCCTCAATGTGCTTTATGTTGTAAGGTCGACCCTACAATAACACACACAGAAAAACCCAACAATCATGTGACCCCCTATGAGCAAGCAAACTTGCTCATAGGGGGTCACATGATTGTTGAGTTTTCTTTTTTTTCCTTTGGGTACATTTTTTCTGAAGTCGACAACAAGCAAGACAGCGTGAATTTAATGTCTTTTATAAATCTTAAGGTCTTATTGTTATAGAAACTGAACAGAGAGTACGTTGCCAAACTTTTGAGCCACCCTTCATTTCCTTATTTTTATCAACGTTTTCTTAGGCAATAGTTTTCCAGACTTTCTGAAGGTCTTTCAGTTGTTTTCCTCGGCGATTGGCTGCTTGTGCCTGACGGTTTTCAGAGGAATGCTTTTGACCTGCGAGTCAATCGAGCTTGTTTCTACACACAACACATAAAAAAGTTTTGAAAAATGCCTGATATAACATCCCGAGCACACACACGTGGACGGGCCTCCCCAGAGCCTCGACTGCAACACTGCTGCAGCAGTGTGGGGTCATGTTGATGGAGAGCAGAACAGATGACAGCCAACATCCAAAGAAGAGCTGCGAATGTCCTTCAAGGAGCCAAGAAAAGAACTATTCCTGAAGACTACTTAAAGAAAGCTGCCCAGGATAATTCAGGCTGAAGAATCAAGGTGGTCACACGAAACCTTCAAGCTTGTTAGAACGTAAAAACTCACTTTTTCTCTTTTATACTTTATTTCCATGTATGTTTGCAACATGTTTCAATAAATCACTTTTCTGGCAAAATATAAAGAAATGACGGATTGGCTCAAGACTTTTGCACAGTACTGCAACTCTTTCTTTGATTGGACGAAAACACAAGAATTCAAACCTTGAACCTGCGATCAAACTTGTTAACCGAATCAGCGAAGTCGACGCGCTCCCTCTTGGCGAGGAACTGCCGCAGCTCAGGCCTCTGCTCCAGCCCGAGGTAGTCGCCAACGAAGTTCCTGTTGATGCTGTTTTTCCTCCGCTCTTTGGAGTTGTACAGGATGTCTGAGGCTGCGAGTCACAAGGAACAACAAACATTTCTAAAACCAACTCAAGCTCTTTGGTGCAACCTGTGCGGGGAATCTCGCCGCTTGTGTAACTCACCCTCTTCTCTCATCTGTTCGTACTTCTTCCTCGCGATGAATTTTCTCCAGGCTTTTTGAATGATTCTGGCAAAAGTGTCAAACTTCCTCTCTCTCATCTCCTCAAGCAGAAACAGCTGAAAGGCATATGTGCATGAGTATTTCTGCAGGTTTAGTGCATGTTAGAGCAGGGTGACCTTCAATCCTCCCTTAGTTATGCTGCAATAGACCCAGGCTGCTTGGAGATTCCCATGATGCACTTGGTGTTTCTTCTTCACTCCCCCTTTATCACTCTCTCCGTGTTTATGTGCCGCTCTACATTTAATCATTAGTTATCATTAATATCTGGCTCTCTGTCTCAGTGTGTCTTTTGTCCCGTCTTCCTCCCCCGGATTCTGTCAGAGGTTTCTTCCTGTTAAAAGGAAGTTTTTCCTTCCCACTATCACCAAATCGTTGCTCACAGGAGCTCGTCTGATTGCCGGGGTTTCCTCTGTATTTTGTAGAGTCTTTGCCTTTCAATATATATATTTCAATATATGCCAGGTCTCTCTTGGAAATGAGATTTTTAATCTCAATGAGAGTTTTTACCTGGATAAATAAAGGACTAATAAAAAATAAAGGACTAATATTTTTTTATACATTAAATGGAATTAAAGTGGTTAATGAACCAGCTGAGGCAGTATTATTAGCTGCTCTCAAGCCTGTTTCACTGAAAAACTTGCAAAAACTTCCCCCAACATGTTGCAGCTATGTG